ATCATCGCTTTTTAAAAATAGTAGAATCTAATAAAAATATTTGAAAAAAAGATTCAAAACATATATATTGACCAAAATACCCTCAAAACATTTTGGGGGTATTTTGGTCAATCTATATTTTTGAATTATGATTTTTTTATATTTTCGTTAGGTGCGCCTTTATGAGTAAAATGTACGTCTCAATTTTCAAGTGATTTGGATTTTTAAAAAAAAATGAAAATTCAAATATGAAATAAAGTCACCGTCAGCTCGGCCTGGATTCAATCTGGGCATTGACTGACACTATAACAGTCAGCCCATGGGATGACAACATATGATGAGATTAGTCCACTAGCTTATATGAGCATATGAGCTCAATAACCCAGATTAAATATAGACCGATCTGATAGTCACGACCTCATTTCGTGTTTGAATTTTAATTGTTTTTCTACATATCCAAATAACTTGAAATTTTAGACGTCCATTGTTCCCATCAAAGCCCACCTAATAAAAATACCCGAAATATTTCAGTGTATTTTGGTCAATTTATTTCTTGCAAATTAGTTTTTTGATATTTTTATTAGATTCTTCCATTATTGCAGAATATACATCTAAAATTTCAAATTATTTAGATTCGTAGAAAAAAAAATTAAATTTCAAATACGAAATGAGGTTGTGACCGTCTGATCGGCCTAGATTCAATCTGGGCTGTTTAGCTCATATGAACACATATGTTCATATGAGTTGGTGGGCTAATCTCAACATTATATATATGGGAAAATATGGGCTTGGCCGCCATGCCTATATGGTTCAAATGCGCCCAATGGAGCTGATTTAAAGCTTTGGAATGGAGGGCCAGGATGGGATCCCGTGGGGGAGTTGCTTTAAACATTTAAAACATATTTTAATACGAATTTATCAGATAAGATACTGACACCTGCAGAAAAACGAAAAGAAGAGTACTCCCTCTCTCTCCTCTCGATCTCTCTATGTATTCTCTCTCCTTCCGTTCTCTCTGTAAATTCTCTCTTCTCCCGCTCTGTCTCTGCATGCTCTCCGCCCGCTCTGTCTCTATGGCCAAGTTCTCTACATATTCCCTCTCCTTTCTCTGTATATTCTCTCGCCTTCGCAGACCCGCAGATCTCGTACCTTGCTGCTACCATTTGTCCCTGCTACTCAAACCCTTGGGCACACAAAGCTCTCTCCCATTCAAGGTATGTTAACCCTCTCTTTCTCTCTCTGGTTTTTCTATTTTTATCTCTCCCTTTGGTTTTCATTCTTTTCAAGTACAAAACCCCCAACGCCCCAAAGAACAACACCCAATCTGAGCATTTTTGCCATGAATATCCCAAATACTGAGCAAAATCTAGGCAAAAATATGGTTATTTCTCTGTAGAATTTTTCGCTTAGATTTTTTTGTAGCAATTTTTGCCTAGATTTTTGTTTTCATTTTTATTTCTTGAATATCCTGAATGCTAAGCAAAACCATGTGTATATATGGTTCTTTCTCTGTAGCATTTTTATCTCTGATTTTTTTATAGCATTTTTTCCCAGATTTTTGCTTTCATTTTTAAAGCATTTTTGCCCAGATTTTGCCCAGTATTGGAATACTGATGCAATACTATTTATATGTGTAAAAATGTAAAAGTTGGTGAAAATGCCCTCTCTTTGTCTGATATATAAAACTGGACAGCGCTGATTTAAACCAATCTGTGTCTTCATCTTTCAAAAGCTTAAAACTAAGATAAGAAGTGGTGAGATTTTATTGGATGGAAATATATGACCATCGCAATGTGGTTGTAAGACTTCTGATTCGTTCTAATTAATATGTGTAGGCTAGAAAGGAAAAGCACACTACAGTGATGAGATTTTTACCTTTTTTACCTTAACTCCAAAATTATTTCAGACAACCTACTTTATCTCTTTGGGGCATGAGTTGAAAACAGTTCTTTAAATTTCTGTTAGAAAGGTAAAGTAAAAGCGGCAAGAATATATCAGAATATGATCATTTGATATATCTTAATATGCTCATATGAAACTTTCTTATGCTTTTGGACTCTTATAGCAGCTTTAGGTTTGATAAAGTAGTGTATGTTAGCAATTTGATATCGTTTATTTGGCAAACATATAGTTTTTAACCTTGTGTATATATTGTAGTATGACTTACACTCATATTTAAGGGCCTACATGGTTGTTGATTATTTGGCCTGTAGAAATTCCAAGTTTAACTGATGCGTATGTATTATGTTTGGAGCTTGAAATAAGTGGAGTTAATGTTTCTTAGCCTATGCATTATGTTTGGAGCTTGAAATGAGTGGAGTCGATGTTTATTGCCTAGACTTTTTTATAGCAATTTTCTTTCGTTTTCTTGCAAACATATGGTTTTTAACCCTATGTATATATGGTAGCATGACTTACACTCATATTTAAGGGCCTACATGGTTCTTGATTATTTGACCTGCTGAAATTCCAAGGATAACTGATGCCTATATATTATGTTTGGAGCTTGAAATGAGTAGAGTCAATGTTTCTTGCCCATATTTTTTTATAGCAATTTGCTTTCAGTTTTTTGGCAAATATACGGTTTGGAGTATTCTTATGATGAAGGTTTAAATACATGTATTTTTGTAGTTCGCAGTTTCACGTTGGGTAAGTCAAAAAAATGAGATGGATCCCACGAATTCAGTCGGTGTGGCATCTAGCACATAAGCAAATGTAGGCAGTATTGATGAAATCTCGGATGGTAGTTGTGGCTCACCAAACGAGAGTCACGAAATAGAAGAACCATGTATAGGAATGATGTTTGGATCAGAGGATGATGCATATGAGTTCTTTAAGTTTTATGCATTCACCAAAGGTTTTGGTATTTGTAGGGGGAGTACTCATATCAAGAAAGGTAATCGGATCGATAGGGTTTATGTTTGCTGCAAGGAAGGCTTTAAACAAGAAAAACCTAATAAAAGTGGAAAGGTTTACCCTGAGTTAAGGTGTGAGTGCAAGGTTAGGATGTGCATAAGTTGTATAGAAAATGACGAGTGGAAAGTGACTAGCATTTATATATATCATAATCATGATCTAGTTAGTCCAAGAAAAGCTCGTCTAATTCGTACGCATCGATCATTGTCGAGTGCTACAAAGTCATTGATACATTCAATGAGCTCGACAATGGTTAAGCCTAGACATACTCATGACATATTCATAGAGCAGGCTGGAGGGATCGACAATGTCCCTTATACATAAAGGGATATTTAAAATGAAATAGCAAGCGCTAGAAAAAAACTTAGAGGAGAAGATGGCAATTTAATTTTGCAATGGCTCTATAAAAAGAACTAATTGAACCCATCATTTTTTATAGATTGAGATTAGATGAAGAGAATCACATTCACAGTATCTTATGGGTTGATTCTACATCTGGAGTTTCCTATCAGTGCTTCTCTGATGTGGTTACCTTTGATTCCACATACAAGACAAATGTGTTTGGTATATCCTTTGCACCTATACTTGGTGCAAATCAACATTTCAGTACAAGTTTATTTAGGTTTGCACTCATATTTGACAAAAAGATAGAATCATTTATATGGGTATTTGAAAACTAGTTGGAAGCCATGGGTGGACGACAACTAGATGTCATTCTCATTGATCAAGATCCTGCAATTTCATATGCAGTGAGGCAATTTCTTTACAAAGTAAGCATTATTATTGTAGAAGATCAAAGAAAAAATGTGTCATGTCTTGCATATGCATCGTTCTTATTCGTATACCTTTAGGAAGTGTGTGGCTAACCCAACAATAGAAGAATTTGAATCGGCTTAGAAATCAATGATTGATAATTATAACCTGGAAGACAATGAATGACTGAGGAGGCTTTATGGTTGTCGCATGCAATGGGTTGATGCATACTTGGCTGACACGTTCACTGCGGGTATGACTTCTACTCAAAGGAGTGAAGGGATGAATACGCTGTTCAAGATGTATTTGACACCCACAACAAGCTTGCGTGCATTATTAGAAGTTGTTGCAAAAGTCAACGATAAGAAGGTATGATAAGAGAGGGAAAATGGCTTGAAAGATATTCAAACTACTCCAGTCTTGCGAACAATCACTTTTATTGAGACATATGCATAAAAAATCTATACTTAAAAGATTTTAAAGATATTTGGGGAAGAAGTGACTAATTGCTTTAATTTTACGAGGGAGATAGTTGAAGACAATGGACAGGTTGCAACCTTTAAGGTGGCAGTCCTAGGGACCGAAACTAAATCCTACTTAGTGAAATTCAATTGCCATGACAATTCCATTTCTTGCACTTGTCACTTCTTTGAGAGGATTAGCCTTCTTTGTAGGCATGTCCTGAAGATTTTTATGGTTAAAGATGTGTTTGAAATCCCACCACAATATATAATGAAGCGTTGGACCAAGGATATAAAGAAGAGAGTTTTTCTTGATGACATTGGGGAACAAATTCAAGTAACATCTGAACTACCACACTCCATTAGATATAATGAGGTTATGTAAGCAAGTCGATCCTTTGCCGAGCGTGCTTCACAAAATGTAGAGGGTTATCAGTTTGTAATGTTCATAATAAAAAATGGAATTCATCAGTTTGATGAAATGTTCATGTGCAAGCGAGGTCCACATGATAATGCCGTGATCCATGTCAATGACGATGCCAATTCTGCTAGTTGTAGTAACACACCAAGTGGAAGTAATCATTGTCCTAATGTCCTTGAACCTGCACGAGCATTGACAAAGGGACGACCGGCCACTAAAAGAATGAAAGCTCAGTCTGAGGGATGGAAGCCGAAAAAAAGGAAATGCGCAGTATGCAATGGAAGTGGACATGACAAAAGGAATTGCCTGTCGTTTGTTTCTGATAGGTACAACTTCATTCATTTACATTATTTTATTTGCAATTGTATTATCCTCATTATTGTTGATGTATTTGATTTACACTTGTATTAGCTTTAATTTAATTGCTAACATTCCTCTTACAACGCTAAGGACAAAACACATCGTACACTTCGGATCAATAAGAAGTGAGTTGATGGTAAGATTCACTCCCATCAAATCCATCCATACAGGAGTGGTAACTAGTGAAGTGTTGGAGTTGTTGTGTTAACATGTCGTATGCTTATTTGAATTTTTTTTTTTTAAAGAACCGTCTAATGGGATTAGTATCCATCAAAGTATATTTAAAAATTGAATTTGACTTGCAGCTTGGTTGATTTAAAGTTTGACTTAGGATCTGCTTTTGTCATCTTAGCATCTGCTATTCATAAATCGAGAAGATATGAATTCCTTGAAGGTATTCTATTGAACAATATATTTTTCGTGATCTGTGCAAGTTCTTATCTTTTTTTATGATCCGTGCAAGTTATGATAATTTGTTCCTGCCTTTATGCAGATCTTGTGCCGCAGAAAGTGAAAGCAAGCTGCAGATGCTTTAATTCCTTCTCTTTCTATGCAATGTGTTGTGTGCTGAAGATTTTTTTGTTGCGTGTGTGTACTTATTTTTCATATATGGATGGGAATGAATTCTAGAATGTGTATGGCTTTTCCTTACTTGCTTTCCCTACTGAGGATTGCTAGTGGTTCTTGCTGCTAGTCCATGTAGAACATATTCTGTCTCTCTCTCTCTCTCTCTCTTTAATGTCTTGGTGGTTCCTGATATGGAGCTCTTTGCATTTGGATTTCTTAAGCATGATAGTTTCATAAGTTTAATAGGGAAGTAGTTGGTATACATCAAAACCATTTATTAGTTGGTGAACCTTCTAACGAGTTCTACACCTGAGAATTTCATGAATCCTGTAACAAGAGAGAAGAACTATAATGCTTTGGACTACAAGGAGGTGGCTTGCATTTGTGAGAAGTTCAAGGATTCACCAGACAGGCTGTTGGGGAGCTTGGCAAGCCAGAATTCGAAGCAAACTTCACAAAAGGGGTCAATGGATGCGTTGAAGTAATTGAAGGACCTCAGTTGATGAATTTGCCAGGAGGAAGGATGGCCTTAGAGGATCCTTAAAGTTCATTTATTTTTATTTACTTTTATACCCTTTTGAAATAGATATGTTTTTTGTATGTAGGAATTTTTTGCATTGGACTGCCATTGTTATTTGTTTATTTATGGGAAATCTGGATGCTTTCCTGAGTAGTGTTGACCATGTTTTGACATGTTAATTCAGTGGTGCAATTGGACGTGTATTTCTTAGTATATGTATGTAATTATTTAGATTTTATAATTATTTAGATTGTCTGAATTGGCATCTACCTATGATCTTGTTTTTTTTTCAATAAGATCATTTGTGTGTGCATGCGCTGAAATACTTTTGGAATGAGATTCTTGTTCCCATTTGGCAGCATAGCAGCATGCCTTAAAATAGGTATTGAAAAGTACCTGTTCACAAGATCTAGAATGGCCTTGCTTTGTAGTCCCCTTACCAAGTGCTAAATAGCCTGGACCCTATATAATAAGTAAAGGTACCTTCAAACAACATTTTTTACTAGATTAAATTCCCAGGAAGAGATAATCACAGTTTCTAAGCAATGTCATCAGGAACAAACTGGATCATTCAATCAGCGAGGGTAAAAAAGCCAGTATGGTCAAAACTAGTTAGACTTCCGGATTCACTAGTAAGATCAGTTTAGTTGCCATCCACTACTTTCACTCATTAGTTGGTATACATCAAGACCATTTATCAAATGATCAATTTATATGTAATTTGGAATAAATTATAGTGTTATCCTTTATCAAAGTATAATTTAATGGGTAAAAATGTGAAATGGTCTTGATGTAAACCAACTAATGAGTGAAAGTAAGTAGGGATTCATGACATGAGTAATTGGTTTGTTGGAACACCACTATTCTTGTGAAGATAACCATGCCATGGGTTTTTATTACCCTATGAAAAACTAAATGTACTTCGTCATTTGAATCATTTGACTGTGAAGTCAGGTGATCCGAGTGGAGATTCAATCAGTTACTCCCCTATAAAAAGCACAATTCGTCAATGGAAACCTAGGCAAAAGAGCAGCCACGATTCATATGAAGTTCAAGCCCATGAAAATGAAATTTGAAAATAAAAAGATAAAGAAAATATTAGATTGGAAAAAATGGGGTTGCAAATTAACACTAAAAAAATTAACACCTAATCATTTAGCTTTCACCATTCAAACACCAAAACCACAAAAAATTAACACCTACTAATTCAACTTTCACCATTCAAAGCACTAAAGAAAATCTGATGCTTGAGAAAGTGAGAGAGATAGTTGAATTATATTAATGTACAATATATTAAAATGAAAATTGTTGATCCATAGAAGATAGAGAACAATAAGTGTATACAATTATAAATATATAGATACTATAAAACATATTTCCATTCCTTTTACAAAGAAAAAGAGGGCAAATATCAATGTCATTAATAAAATTACACATATGAGAAAAACAATTTGAACGTCTGCTTTCTTAGGGACCATAGCAATAGATTTGCGCTTCTCTTTCTCAGCAAAGATGCATCTACTCTATCGGCAGCATAAGCACTTGGCCTCTGAGACACGAACCTTTTAACCACATTCTTTTTTTCTTCACTTAGAATTTCATCACACCACTCTTGATAGTTGCATCCAGTCTCTTTCTAATGGTTAACATAATAAGATAAATATATGTTAGATATATGCTTACTATGGATCACCAATATGTTTTTACATTATCTTAATGAAAGAATATTACATGCCTTCCAGTTAGAGCATTTATAGAAATACCTATTGTAGTTATCGTGTGTCTTTGAAAGAAACACATGCATCCGACCACATCCTGGTTTGCATTTACAAAACTTTGGAGGGAATTGGTTGTTGAGATCCATTCAGTTAAAATGATTAGATGCACTCCAATGCCCTATTCTCACTCTAACACATCCATGGATTGCATCAGCCATTAAAGTGAGCATATGCAAACTATACCTTATCAAAGAGCAGAGGAAACACCAAATAACAAAAAGCAAAGCATGACAGGGATTCATATACTTATCTTAAAAAGGAAACTCAATTTCGAAATCAATATAACGAAATCTGAGAGATAATAAAAGATAGTGTACAAAATCAGCAAAAAAAAAAAAAAAAATCTTTCTGTAGGTATTCTAATAGTAAAGATTGACATAGGGCTTTATATATCTCATAAAGCCTACGGTTAGTAAAGATACCAAGACTAGATAAAATGAGTCTATATCACAATTTAATCATAGCCCATCTACATATATGTCACAATTTTCAGGGAAAAAAAGGTGTACAATAGAGGAACAACACCTACCTCAAGCAATACCTACCTCAAATTTTCAAAACTACTTCCTAAGAAAACTTTTTGGAACAAATTGGTAAAAAAATTTCAACATGATTCATCAGTTCATCTTCATATGGAAGTCCGAATTGGAAGCTATTGAATGATGCTTGTGTTGGTTCATATCACAACAAAGGAAAAAATACTAAGTTTCATGAAACTTTGCCTATCATCTAAATAAATCGAACACGCTTGGAATTTCAGCAGGCCAAATAATCAAGAACCATGTGGGCCCTTAAATATGAGTGTAAGTCATCCTACCATATATACACAGGGTTAAAAACTATATATTTACCAAAAAAATGAAATCAAATTGCTATAAAAAAATATGGGCAAGAAACATTGACTGCACTCATTTCAAGCTCCAAACATAATACATAGGCATTAGTTAACCTTGGAAATTCAGCAGGCCAAATAATCAAGAACCATGTATGCCCTTAAATATGAGTGTAAGTCATGCTACCATATATACACAGGGTTAAAAACCATATGTTTGCCAAAAAAACGAAATCAAATTGCTACCATACACTACTTTATCAAACTTATAGCTGTTATAAGAGTCCTAAAGCATAAGAAAGTTTCATATGAGCATATTAAGATATATCAAATGATCATATTCTGACATATTCTTGCTGCTTTTACTTTACCTTTCTAACAGAAATTTAAAGAATTGTTTTCAACTCATGCCCCAACGCAATAAAGCAGTCTGTCTGAAATAATTTTGGAGTTAAGGTAAAAAAGGTAAAAATTTCATCACTATAGTGTGCTTTTCCTTTCTAGCCTACACATATTAATTAGAACGAATCAGAAGTCGTACAACCACATTACGATGGTCATATATTTCCATCCAATAAAATCTCACCACTATTATCTTAGTTTTAAGCTTTTGAAGGAGGAAGACGTTGGATGTATTTCTCGAACTATCCCCTTAAACACAGATTGGTTTAAATCAGCGCTGTCAAGGTTTATATATCAGACAAAGAGAGGGCATTTTTACCAACTTTTAAATTTTCAACCATTTTTACACATATAAACAGTATTGCAACGGTATTCCAATACTAGGCAAAAACTGGGAAAAATTGCTTTAAAAATGAAAACAAAAATATAGAAAAAAAAATGCTATAACAAAATCAGGGCAAAAAATGCCACAGAGAAAGAACCATATATACACAAGGTTCTCAGTATTCAGGATATTCAAGACATTAAACAAAATCTGGGAAAAAATGTACTAAAAACGAAAACAAAAATCTAGGCGAAAAAGGCTATAAAAAAATTTGAGCAAAAAATTATGCAGAGAAAGAACCATATTTTTTTCCTAGATTTTGCTCAATATTTGGGGCAAAATTGCTCAGATTGGGTGTTGTTCATTGGGGCTTTGGGGGTTTTGTACTTGAAAAGAGTGAAAACTAAAAGGAGAGACGGAAATAAAAAAACCAGAGAGAGAGAGAGTGAGCGTTAGCATACCTTGAATGGGAGAGAGCTTCTGTGCGCCCAAGGGTTTGAGGAGCAGGGACAAATGGTAGTAGCAGGATGCGAAATCTGTGGGTCTGCAGAGGTGAGAGAATATACAGAGAGAGGAGAGGGAATACGTAGAGAGCTAGAAGCATGAGCCAAACAGAGCGGGTGAAGAGAGAATTTACAGAGAGCGGAAGGAGAGAGAATGCGTATAGAGATTGAGAGGAGAGAGAGGGAGTACGCTTCTTTTCGTTTCTCTACGGTTGTCAGTACCCTATCTAACAAATTCATATG